GAAGAGGGGAGGGGGGTCGAGGTCCTGGCGAGTTGAAACCTTGTCAGGAAAACATTTTGGCTACTTGAGAAAGAAAAAGTGCGCTTTTGTAGGCTGAGTGAGGGGAGGATAATGGAATGGACTTATTAGCACTTGTTCCTTTTCTGATGTATGCAGGGGCTTGACATGCAGTGGCCTTTCCTGGTGCAATGCTTCAATTCATCAGAGTGGATTTCACTTTTCTGCCACTGTCTCAGCAGGATACAATGTAACGTGTGTGTGTGTGTGTGTGTGTGTGTGTGTGTGTGTGTGTGTGTGTGTTAAAATCTAATGTGTGACAAAAAAAAGCTGTTGTTAAATCCTAGCAAACTTTATGGAAAGCACTTGACACAGAAGCGTTGGTGACAGAAATGGTTGCTCGTCTCTGCCTCTGCAGGCAGACCGATGATTAACTTGTCATCAACGCGGAAGATACTTTGATTTCCCCATGTAATTCTCCGGTACTTTCCAGCGTTTACTGACCCCACATGTCACACAAGCGGCCAGGGTTTCCTGCTGATTTCATGCTTTTTGCACACATAAACAATCGCAGTGCCGGTATGTGCTTTTGTCTGCAGCRAATTTTCTAAAACCGCAGCAGAGGATCCAGTGGCGGCATTTTGGTTGCTAGCCAACRTTGCAGCAAGACGGACTTTTCCCAATTTAAAGTTGTGTCATCCATCTTCTTCCGCTTATCTGTAATYGGGTCGGAGAGGCAACAGGTCTAGGAGAGAAACCCGTCATTCCTCTCCTCCTCAGCGACACTTTCCAGCTCCTSCTGGTGAAATCTGAGGCATTCCCAGGCCAGAGAGGAAACATAATCCTTCTGAGTCCTGGGCCTCCTACCAGTGTGACAGCCAGGCACAACTCTAAAGGGAAGCTTCCAGGAGGCATCCTAATCAAATCTTTGCCTTTTCAACTCAGCTCTTTTTCACCACGACCGACCAAAGCAACACCCTCATGACTGAAGCCCCAATCTATCGATCCATCACTCCATCCTCACTCGTGAACAACACACACTTAAACTCCTCCCACTGTGTCACTGATGAAAAATTTATTCCAGAATAGCAGAGAGAGATTTGAAAGGTCATTAAATACTTATCTTTTGTGAAATTAGAGCAAAGAAAAGCACACATTACTTCAGAAATGACCAGACTGTCCCTTTTAACATGTTTATTAAGTCCTCCCATGTCCAACCGTAACTCGGCCTCCCTGCAGCAGACATAACTGTCGACGCAAATAAAAAGCGGAGCCTGTGAGTTTGCTCAGTCTGTGAGTATTTGTGTGCTGTTTGCCTCCCTCTCTGCACCACATCCAGCCATCTCAGAGGATAAGTGGTACGATTTACGGCCCTGCTGCCCACAGCTGCTGGACAAAGCATTTATATGGGCAATATGTTTTTTTTTCTCTCTCATCACTGCTGTGGTTTCAAAACCATCCCACCAGGATTTTTGTTAAATAAAGACATGAATGTGTTTATTTGGAAATTGTTTTAAATTCTGCTTTCCTAAGATATTTTATGGCATCAAGCTAAATTTTTCTTACAAAATATCCCCTCCTAAAACAAACTGTGTCATTAACCGCATCATTCCCACGAAGCTCCATGTTCATTAGTGCACGAAGCAGACCCACGCCATGCAGTGAGATGAGGTGYTATTAAAGACGTGAAGTAAAAATGTAGAATATAAAAATCTCCTATTGGCGAGTCAGACTTGAATAAATGATCAAGAGTTCAAACCAGCCTCTTCATAAGATGCTTTTAATGTAATACACGTGTTAAATAATGCCCGTCTTGCATCTCTAATGCACTTCGTTTCTGACTGCGTTAGCGCAGCCCTCCTCTTCGTTCTCCATCAGCTTTTGTTTCTGCTCGTACAGTGTCTTTCTGTCTGCCTCTCTGTCTCCACTGAAAGGGCTGAGGGCATTATGTGCCGCTATGAATGATTCATCCCCCACTGTGGTGGATGTGCTCGGACTGAAAAACAGGCAGGGGAAAGAGCAGGTGGCTGCAAGAAAGGTAAACGAGGTGACAAGATGGAAAGGAGATGCATTTGGAGTTTAAGAAATAAACAGGCCTTTTTGTTATTTCATACTTTAGTGCTCCTATTTGCCCCTTTTATGAATCGTTATTAATAAAATAAATTCTGAAATTGATGCTCTTCCTACTACTCAAGGGTAAAAAGGTCCTTAAGGTGTTAATTAGAATTCATCTTCTTTTTAAACTCCCTCCATATGTGCCATTAATATAAATACACAGTAAGCTGTTAACGTGCCATCGACTGTCTCACCATTTTACTTAACTCCTATTTCCTGCATACATAGCTTGAATAAAATCATTTTATATTAAAAGGATCAGAACTTTTGATTAGGGATGCACAATATATCGGTATTGATATTGGTATCGGCCGATATTGGCAATTTTTTAGAATATCGGTATCGGTCCGATATGTAAAACTGGGCCGATATTAATGTCCGATATTGATTTTCAATTTTTTATCTTTATGTTTCTGTTTTGGGAGGGGAGATGGTTGGTTGAGCAGCATCTGTTTGATCACAATAGTGATATTGACGCTGCGCAGCCAGGAATAACTGAAGCAGAGAGCCATGTCAGAGGTCTGGTTGTTTATTTACGGCATCAAAAAAAGACCTGTGTGTTTGTGTGTATATGTATAATATAATTTGTGTGTTGTGTAATATCAGTAAATACCGGTTATTGGCCATAACAGCAATAATTATATCGGATATTGATATCGGCTGAAATTTTCATATCGATGCATCCCTACTTTTGATGAGGGTTTTTGAGTAAAATTTATGAAAGTTAATATCTTATTCTGTTCAAATTAGCTGTTATCTCATCAGTCCATTCCAAATTAAACAATATCCTTCCAAACGGAAAAGCTATCTCCAACAGGTAAGATGCTGATTTTTCATTATCTTTTTCTCAGAACCCCACGAGACCTAAACCATCTGTTTAAATGGAAGAAAAACAATTCAAAACTAGCAAATAGTAACATTCTTTTAAAATCCTCTCTTTTCCTTTTGTTTCCCACCTTGCACAGAACATCTAATAAATAATTAAATGAACAATAATGCTAATTTATAAATAATGTATCTGTTTGTGACGATGAGGCATGGAGGGTGACAGGGAGATTGATGCTGTGGTCAGACGGGAGCTCCTCAGTGAGAGAAAAAAAGAGAGCTGCTGATTCCAAAGCTGCCCATTTTCATTAGGCCACCTTTCATCGGCTCTGTGTGTTTAATGACATACTTATGTTTAATCTGCAGCCACTTCCCAAGGCAGAGGTGGCCTGTGTGTAAGGCAGAGGCGTGTTGAGTGTAGCTCCTCCATGCTGCAGTGTCTTCCTATTTGTTGTCTCTCACTCCCCACATGTTTTTTTTTTTTTACTGTTTTCCACGTCAAATTTGTTTCGCTCTAATGAGTATCTRCTCCTGTGTATTCGAGCGTGTAGTATGTCCAGTATGGTTTTTATATGTAAATTTTTGCTAGCAATCTGCTTCAGGGTGGTCTGTGGCAGATGGTGAATTTGACAGAGCGGTATCTTGATGTTGCCATAAAGGCAACAGACCTTGAGTGGAAATTATCCTTCTAAGTGTGCAAATATGATGAACATGCAAGCACTTCTGTTCACAGACTGTGTCTAAAGCTTTTCACACAACAAAAGCCCCATTTAAAGTTACACTCAATGTTTTGGTGAGCACATGAACATATTTTTTAGCCCAAAAGGAACCCCCCGCATTTTTCTCCTATCTTGTCCAGTTCAGCTCGGCGGGGTCTCAGAGCGAGTTTCATCACGTCTGCCATTAACGGCGAGGCAAACACGACATTCTGAATTATGTCTGTGCYGTTACCTTTTTGCTACTGCTGGGTAAATGAGGCGGCTATAGGCTGTGTTTTCCCCCGCTGCAGCTAACCTTAGAGGTCACTCCCAAGAAGGAGACATTCATCACTCTGACATGTGGATGCTGTGGGGAAAAGAGAGAGTGGTGTGTCTATATGTGTGTGATACAGTATTAATGTACCAAACACTTCCTCCCAGTAGAAACAAAGCCCAAGCYGCAGAGATCTGCATTGTACTGTAATTGTGACTGTCCCATGTCAGGCAAGTCAGTGTAGAAATGTTCCCATGTTTTCTTTCTAGAAGCAAAACTTGTACATTAGCTCCAGCTTTTCAACCAAAAAGGTAGCAAACTTGCACATTGAGGGAAAAATGTCAGCACATGATACTAAAAGTGAATTATTTTCCACTTTTTWAAATTTAAACACAGAAAATAATGACTCATTTCTTCTAAGGAGGAGTTCTGTGAAAATGTGGTGAGCAATGAGTATCTTACCTGTTGTAGATGAACAATGTAAAGAAAAAAATKTATGCAGAAGTGATGTTAAAGACAGTAATTGAGGCTGGAGTCCTTTTAAGTTGGCTTTTATCTCTTTCAAATGTTTCATCTTGTTAATCTGGTCAGAAATAAATCCTGTTTCTCCAAACTGAGATTGTTTAAAAGACTATGAACAACAGGTAAGATAATACACTGCTTGGCCAAAAAACACCACCACCTGGATTTAACTAAGTTCTATGATGTGGTGTTGTTGCAGTTGGTCAGATTTAGGTTCAGGTATTTTTAGGTTCTGACCTGAATATATTGAATGACCAGATTATTCCATCATTGGATTTGTTCTTCCCTGTTGGCACGGGCATATTCCAAGATGACAATACCAGGATTCATCGGGCTGAAATTGTGAAAGAGTGGTTCAGGGAGCATGAGACATCATTTTCACACATGGATTGGCTCCACAGAGTCCAGACCTGAACCCCATTGAGAATCTTTRGGATGTGCTGGAGAAGRTCAGACTCTACCATCATCAATGCAAGATCTTGGTGAAAAATTAATGCAACACTGGATGCAAATAAGTCTTGTGACATTACAGAAGCTTATAGAAACAATGCCACAGTGAATGCGTGCCATAATCAAAGCTAAAGGCGGTCTAATGAAATATTAGTGTGTGACCATACTTTTTGGTGGTGACTTTTTTTTTTTGGCCAGGCAGTGTATTTGGTCATTACAGAACTCCACTTCAAAACTTCTGAACTATCCCTTTAAGTCTTAGGATAAAGTGATGCAAGACTTTTATTTTTTTATTTTGGCAAATGCTGTCTGTCATTTATAAAATACTTGTGACTACAGTCGCTTGCATTGCATTACCTTAAATAATGACGAAGCATACTCTTATATATATTTTTTCTTTGTCAAAAGAAAAGTTTACCCTTTTTTGCCATTCACACTTTTTTGCCTTTTTATTTTTTTATTTATAATTTTTATCCCTCTGCTTTTATGGACATATTCTCACGAGTAATAGAAACATATCGATCGCCATCATTGTTTGCCAAGTGTGTTAGCYGTCTAGAAGAGATTCATTTTATCCAAACAAATTGATATTTCCTCCCTGAGGACATAATCTCAGATGAAAATRGAAACAAATCCTAGCTGTTGTTGGGGTGGCAGCTTTTGCGTAGAAGCTTGATAGTTTTCTGTTCCAACACACGTCTCGCCGCCTTTAGAAACACACATCAAACAGCAGAGCTGTGACCTTGGCAGGCGGAAGGGATGGGATGCTCTGACTTTGAACGGTGATGAACAGACGAGCCTTCCTGGCATTCCCYTGCCACCGCTGACTGCCTCCTCTCACTGGGAGGAAGAAAATATGCCTGATTAGTGAGTGTAACTCCGAAATGTGYAAAAAGCTGCCAAGATTATGACAAATCTAAAAGATATTGAAGCAGAGAGGAAAAAAATAGAATACAAACAAGCCAAATTACTCTTYGCCATTGCTTAATTGTTCAGTTTAATAATCCAGATCTATAAAGACACAGTTATGTTTATACATGTAATAAATTTGATTGGTGGCACCCTCCGTTCTTTCTGTACGGGGGGCTGATGCCCACCCAAACAGCTCTTGTCTGATTAGCTGCTAAACACAATCACTCTCCTTTTTATAACAGTCTGTGAAGTGATTTATGATCTTTATAAACCTCAAATTAATTCACGACGTATAAACCACCGACCAATCACACAGAACCTCTCAGTGTGCATGTTTTTGTTTCCTGAATGCAATAAAGCAGGSGTGTCAAACTCATTTTCACTGAGGGCCACATGAGCGTTATGGTGGCCCTCGAAGGGCCACTTGTAATGAACTTTGACGTTTCATGTTTAACTGTGACTAAACAGTGTTTTAACACGTCCTCTTTTAAACACTGATACGTGTGACTAACACACGCTAAGTGTATGACTGACTAAATCTGAAATATATACAGAAATA